CTTGACCCACGCCCGACTTGCCCGATGCTACACATGCCGACATGGCCGAGGGTACGGTGGTAGGCCTAACGTTAGGGATAAGTCCTGTTGCAGAACTTGATGCACTTGTGTCTGAAACCGGCTGAACATGTTGGGCAGTTCCAGGGAGAGAGGACAATCGAGTGTCCTGCGGATTTGTTGCCGTGGACAGAGGGGAAGAGACAACATTCACAGTTCCAATCGGGCCCGATGTTCGAACCTCCGTCGTTGTGAATGGCGCCATTTTGTTGGGCGATGGTCGGAGTGGAGTGAGGGCACCCTTCCGCTTGACTGCTGACATGTTGGCCTGCCGCTATCAGTGATGGACATGGGCTGATCAACGTAGACCTGTGTAGCGCGAGCTGTACACGCGTTTGACTTACGGCCTCCGAATCTTGACTGCATTTCGTAGCCAAATTCGCATCTTTGCTAGCGTCCCGTCATGCAACCCCCGGCGCTTTTCTCTTCTGCCCACGGCCTCTTGGCATGCTCCCGGCCGTTCAGATCAAAGGTGGTAAAGGTTTGAGATGATTTAACAGTAATTTGAAGACTGTTTGAAGAGAGAGTTTTTGAGAATGGTGAAACTGTGGTGAAGCTGAGTAAAGAATGTTTATCGCGCACGTGACATGCTCAATTATCTTTTGTGGTTGGCCGCTTGTGCACGTGCCACACTAATGCCATGACCATACTCCCCCCCCCGAGCTAAAGGGCGTTTTCCGGAGACAAGCACCAGAAAACTCTATTATATTTCTCACAACGAGAGAGAATCGTGGTTATGCACAACCATGGAGCTGCTTCGGTTTAAAAGGGTTTTGAAAAAATCATTGAATAAAATTGTTACATAACAGCCAGAAATGGAAATAAAGCAACAGAAAGTTTACAATCCATGTTTCAATACATGTCACATGGCTTATCATATAATGATGCGACAATCTGATGAAATCAGTTTCCATCTCGAAACCTTCCCTTTCTAGTCAAAGTTCAACCTGATGGGACTTGTACTTAACCAGATAGAGTACTTTAAAGAGTGCCCCTTTAATGTCACTTGACTTGTCACCAGATGACATCATAATCACATCAGGTAAATCTGGGTCTAAAACCCTTCCCCTTTGAGCTCTACACAAAGTTTCAACCAAATCGGAGATAAACTTCACGAGATATAGCACTTTAAAGAGTGTCCTATTAATGTCACTTGACTTGTCCCAAGATGATGTCATAATCACATGAGGTCAGTTGTGGTCTCAAACCCTTCCCTTCAAGTTATACACAAAGTTAAAATCAAATCAGAGATGTACTTCACAAGATATAGCACTTTAAAGAGTACCCCTTTAATGTCATGTGACTTGCCAGCTGATGACGTCATTAGAACTTGTACAGGAACCTTTTCTACATGTAGCTTATGGCCTTATCGTGTGCCCCCAACACGAACTCGGTCAGATCTATAACAGTGCAAAAGCGGTCTTCCTGTTAATTGGAAAACATGTAAAAGACCTACATATACATGGTAGTGGGCAAAAATAAGTATTCAAAATTTAAAAATAAATCGTGTGATGACATCGTGACAATTATGGTGTTGGTGGTTGGACTGTCCTTACACAGTGGGTTTGCGAAGTGTGAAGTAAAAGAAATACCAAATTCAAGTAACATGATAATTTAGTAGAAAAATGTGTACAAAACATGTATGGGAAAAAATTAAATATTCAAATTTCAAAAATAAATCACATGATGTTGTCATGACGAATTTCTTCTAGGACCTACATGTACCTGACATAAATATGTAAAGGTCTACCAAGTTTGAAGTCAATCAGATAAATAAAACTATCAAGTCCAAGTAGCATCAACTTCAGCAGAGTGCTGTAACTTTTAATTAGCAGGTCTAGATTTTTGTTTTTTGCATTTCCAGAGACTTTAGTTTTGCCTAAAATATTTTTAGAAAAAGGCATTTTCAAAATTTGACCCTTGTGTCACACTTGCATGGAATTGCCCTAAAAATAAATGATTTAAGAAATAAAACGATAAGGATAAATGAATAAGAATAAATAAGTGTCTCCGGGCTAGTACCCAAACCGCAGTATGGAGATACATGTACGTCTGTCCTGCCAACAGGGAGAACCTAACCCTGCTGGCATCGGTGATGTCTCGATCTTTCCCGGGGACAGACGCCTCTAACCCTACCTACGATAAAAAAAGAGTAATTATACCAGACACGGTGACACTAAAATAACGAATCACAGCCAAATCTTCATTAAAATTAAAAATAATAATAACCCTACCAGATAAAACTAATAAAATCAGGAATCTTGCAATGCAATATCACTGTGCAAATGCAAAAAAGGTAAGTTATCACTTTACATTTAAAGTAATACTGGGCCATTCCATATACTGATCATGTACATGTGTGATATAAGCCCAACAAGCCCAACGTAACTTTGGCATGCTGTGCGTATTTGAATTTTTGAAATGATAATTGACGCGACTGCATCAGGATGTACATGTACATGTAGATCAGTCAATACTAGTCTGAGCAACTTAGCCCTTATGAATTGCCTTTTGTATAGATTTGGATATGGTCCTGCGAAACATGACAATGTACACACACTGTATACTCATCAATGTGAAGTCGCCAACTTGGTTTGGAATCAACTTGCTCGGATTCAACTCCGTCTCAGGTCAACTCGGTCCCAAGTCCACTTGGCCTCATCAACTCTTGAAGGCAGGCACTTGGCTGCAACATGAATGAAAAGCTTCCAAGCTACATGCAGTTTCAAATTCAACACACTTTAGCATACCTAAAGCCTACCTAAATACACATATTTCCAGAATTCTAACATCGTATGTACACTTTATTTACACATAGAGGCCTACTGATATATGCATGAGATGTTGGCCTTGTAATTTGGGCAGACCGGGCACTTGGATGCATCATTAATTACCAAGATAAGGCAAAATCCCAGTCTTTCTTGCCAGCTTGACAGACTTTGGCATATACATGTAAGTATTCCCAGAAATCTAACATTGCATGTACATGTACATACTTTATTTACAAAGATACAAACATACAGTATGTTACATGTAGCCTATTAAGCCTGACACAAAAGTCAATGAAAAATTTGGTTCCTGATATATTAGTAATTTCTGTGTCAAGTTGTCAGTTGCTGTGGAGATCAGTGGATTTTCAAAGACACAGACTTGAACTTAGACTTAGACCTTCTGGAGTTGGACTTGAACAATGAGAACTTGGCTACCAGGACTTGGCCCAAGTCCCCCTCCCTGATTTTTAACTTTATTTTACCGCGCAAGACAGGTGGTCTATGCGTTTATATGTCTGTGGTGCTGCGGCATGCGCAAAATGGGAAAACGGACACGACAAGGTTTGGAACACTCCTTGCTATGTTTGTAAAGGTGGGCTAATTGTCCAAATACAAAAGGATTTGAACGGAATCATGCAAACTACATTTTGCTCTGGGAATTTTGAAAGTTTCCATGATTGACTTAGTAGTTTACAGTTTAATGAGTTGAAGTTTGTACTGTAGTGTGACATGTTACAGCAGACTGCCAGAAGTCTGTCATGTGTCTGTGCTGGGTCCGATGTCCATGATCAGGGTGGACGTCAGACCTTTAAGTTCTGGGGGTAGATAAGTGACACAAATTTTGCTTTTTTCAATCAAGTTTTCCCTTGAGAATGAGAGCAACCATTAGGCTTGAGGTACCCAGGCTAACGGAGGTTTTTACACAAATCACAGAGGGTTTCCTCATCATTCTTCTGTTTTATACCCAATGATCGCACCGTAACATAAATTTGTGTATCACAAATGGCAAGCCTGGCAAGCTCGGTGGTCGAGTGGTTAANCGGGGCAACATTTGTCTTGTTGGATTGGGCTTTACAAGTTGCCCTGCCAAATTCTAAGGACTGACAGAAGGAGCATTTGTGAGTGTATTTGCACTGCACGTTTCTGCATCCAGCTTGATTGAATGCGAAGCATATTCCACTGCTTCTGGGGAATGTGTAGCCGCGAAAGGATCGCTGTTTAGATAGGAATTCGTGCCCAGATCTGCGTTGACCAATAAACCCTGCATTAAATGTCCCCAGGGAAGAGAGACAAAGAGCCCAAAGCTCTCCATCAATTGTAGCCCATGACCCATGGGGGTGGAGTTGTTGGTGCATTCGGAATTGGTGGTCATATTCTAACCAACCACATCCTCCAAAACGAGCAGGTGCCAGCCTAATTACATGCATATATACATATGCATGTACTTCAACAATTCCTGCGCATGCATGCATGCGGAGGGTGAGCCCCTAAGAAAACTCAGGAGTATACTAGAAAGGCATCCGTCCACCCTTGGATTGAGCTAAGTTGTTGCTTTTTCTCTTTTAGTAGGAGCTGTCCTGACTGATCAAGGCTCAATGTGAAACTTTAGGAGAGGGAGGGGATGTTACGATCCAGGAGCAAACCCAACTCAGTATACTCACTTTTGACAATTTTTTCCTTAATGTTTAAAGGGACAGTAGCACCTACATGTAGGGGGTCACAAACTGATACCAATGCCAATGGGTCTGCCCCGGATTAATTACTATTGAAGTGCTTATTAATATACGTTGGGTAAGGGCAAAACCGTTATATAATTAACCTCAAGATAGTTAGAAAATTATTTTTAATTTTTGGGAAGATTTAGAAGTGTCCATTTTTGCACTGAAGGAAAAAAAATGGAAAATTGAGCCAAACTAAAAATGTCATTGGCAAGTTGTAGTGGGGTGAGTAAAATCAGGAGTTTTGAATTAAAATTATTGGGAGGTTGATTTTCACTTACTTTGAAATTTGAGGTAAAAATGTTGCTCTGGCAAGGCACTGGAGGGAAAAAATCAAACTGCATCAAAGTTTGGGGTGCGCAGTTAGGGGGTTTCAACAATAAATGAAAGATGTTGCTGTGCCAGCAGTAAAAGCTAAAGGGATGCATTGTTTTTGTTTTGCTTTTTATTGTAGGAGGAAGTCATTAAGAGAAGAAGATGGAGCAAGAAGTGGCCAATGAGTGGGCAGCATCAACAAAAAGAGCATAGAACCTGAGTAAGTTCCTTCCAGCACCAGATTACTCAATGACAAGCTGGATTGAGAAAGTGAACTTTATTCCTGCAAGTTTACTCATTTTCCCCCATATTGTTAACATGTGTCTTAATGACAACCTTCCCAGATCCTTCAAAATCCACCAGGAGCTTTGTGGAAGATTGAGGAAGATAGAGCCCAGCCCAGCCTCTTTGGATTCAAATCGGACTGTGTGTGTCCATAGAATTTTGGAGAATGTATCATATTGGGGAGGATTTTTAGGATACGGAAAGGTTTCCAGGAACCACCGTCTTTCTGTGCTGACCTTACGTCTTGCTGTTTAAATAATCATTACTCTCTATACACTTTGTCAGCTCTGACAAGTTTGGCCTCACAGAAAATTCCCCAAGAATTACAAACTTTATATGTATGACTTTCCATCTCAATACAAATATTGAAATATTAAATATTGAAGTTTTATCTCAATCTGTCATAATTTTACAGTCACTTGGAAACTGGAAATGGCAGCGGAAAAGTATACATTCTTGGTTGACCTCTCCCAGAAAAAAAGTGCTGTACAAGAACGATATGTTGGATTTTCACAAAAATGGTGTCAGAATGATTAAAAAGAGTTTTAAAAACTCCAGAAGGCTTCTGGAGAATATGCACCTTGATAATATTGGAAAATATGCTAATTGGAGTTAGATTCCCTCTCCTCTCCCCAGCTCCTAAGGGTAGAATTCAGAGGTTGTTCAAGAAATTTCCACTCGCACAGCCAGAGTTTTCACAATTTGTAAAGTTGAGAAAACAGTCACTGGGTGCCTCCTGTTGTTTGTACATGTGTCAACTGCCTGAAGATGGACCTATTCCGAATCAGCCGGCTTAGGCTGACAGAATTACACAAGTCTGCGGCAAATGCTTAAGCCACTCACTTGTGGCTTTAATCATCTAGCCTCAGCCACACCTTTTGGACATCATCTTAAAACCCACAACTCTGCTGGGGACATGCTCAAACAAAAGTACATTTATTACAATGCATACAGACATAACTGCTCCCTTTTTGTTACTGTACTTTTACCAGATGTTTAAGGTGATAGCAGCATGGTTGGTCCCCTGCCTGTGGGCTCATTTTCTGGCATCACTGGTCTGATAGAGTGAGGTGATAGCAGCATGGTTGGTCCCCTGCCTGTGGGTTCACCTTCTGGCATCACTGCCCCAGTAGAGTAAGCCATCTCTTGTTATACGACAAAAGTAGTCATGATTTTGGTTGTCGCAACAATTTGTTTAAAGTTACAGTCCACCATTTATCTGTTGTGGATTATTTTCCTTTGAAGCAACAAAATTACTCAAAATCTAAAGAAGGGAACACAAGAATGAACGTGATGAAGATGAAGTTTCAACTAAATAGTGAATGCCCCATATTCTGAAAAAACTATTCTAGGACTTAGATTTTAGATCAAAAGTTTGCCGAGTCGTTTTTTAAATTGTGCCTGAATCCAGCATCTGGGAAACATGCTCATATTCAGTTGAATGCAGGCACACCTTGTCTCCCCCTGAACTGATGAATTATAGAAACTGCTAGTGTCTGTGCATCATGTCAACGCTTGCACGCATTTCTAATGGTGACTTCCAAAAATTTGAGAAGGTGCCTGGTTGAAATCATTGTTTCTTCATGATGACCGTTTGCCAGAAAGAACAGTTTCTCACAGAATGTAGCCCTCTATCTAAACCAAGTAGGCTTTTCAACAACAATTTTGGATACTGTTTGGATAGCTGCATATGATAGACTGTACAGTACTTTTCACCCATTTGTCCTTGTACAGGGTTCCCACAGTCATTGAAAATCTTGGGAAAAAGTTGTCCTGGAAAGTCATGGAAAACTCATGGAAAATTGGTCTGGGGGAAAAGTCATGGAAATCAAGATCATACAAGGGTGATTTTGATGGTGGTTATGGATAGTGGCTATGGCAGTGTTCCCGTTTATTAAACCAAACAAAGTTTCTGTGCAGAGTGGCATTAAATGCCATGGAAATTGTTATATTTTAGTTCTGGAAAGTGCAGGAAGGATCACTGAATTTGATTTTCAGATTTCGTGGGAACCTTGCTTGTTACAATCAGGGCCCAATTTCTCGGCACTGCTTAGCACCCGATTTCACGCATGCAGAGGCTCTGCATATTTCATGCAAATCGTAAGCAGTAAGTACAGCCAAATGCATCCTAACCTTGGAGGAAAGATTTGTGTAACATCAGAAATCTCTGTCTGCATGCAACGGTCGGCACAAGCACCCCAAGCACCGCATGGAATAGTGCTCAAGGTTAGCACATTATTCTGCTGAAATTGGGCCCTGACCCCACCCAGCCTGTTACTCCCTGCACTCCCCAGCACTGTATGGTTTTATGGATTTAACAGTGACCCACAATAAGAGTCTATGTGGTAATGGGTTGAAATGTATATGTTATGCTTATTTGGGGAAAAAAATTTATTACTGTGTGACTGAAAGACCTTAAGCATGTTAGGTGAACTTTTCTTGTTCTTTTTGTCATTTTTCCCCGTGTTAAGATTTGGGAAGGCCTCATTGCTAGGTGAATGTACTGCCATGGATGCCCACATGAACGTTGAGGCTGGCTAGCGTCATGGTACAAGTGGACTGACCGGTGAAATCTCCAAAGCGAAGAAGCAGGCTCCGTTATAAGTAGCACAGGTAAGAGTCCTGTGTTTAATATCATTGCTAGCTTTCTGCAAGGACGAATCCGGGAAAGGGGGAGGGGCTAATTGGGGTCACGACCAAACAAGGAGCAAAAACTGTTTTCATTTGAAAAAAATGAAAAGATCTTATCAGNAGGTTTTTTCGCAAGCTCTCGGACAAGCACTGCGCATACAGTGCTTATTAATTAAGGGCAAACCCGTTATATATAATTAACATCTCCCCAACGCAAAAATACATCTTGAAAATCACTGGTCTGATAGAGTGAAGTGATAGCAGCATGGTTGGTCCCCTGCCTGTGGGTTCATCTTCTGGCATCACTGCCCCAGTAGAGTAAGCCATCTCTTGTTTCATGACAATAGTAGTCATAATTTTGGTTGTCGCAACAATTCGTTTAAAGGTACATGTACAGTCCACCATTTGTCTGTTGTGGATTATTTTCCTAGCAACAAAATTACTCCAAATCTAAAGAAGGGAACACAAGAACGTGATGAAGATGAAGTTTCAGCTGAATAGTGAATGCTCCATATTCTGAGAAAAACTATTCTAGGACTTAGATTTCAGATCAAAAGTTTGCCGAGTCATTTTTTAAATTGTGCCTGAATTCAGCATCTGGGAAACATTCTCATATTCAGTTGAATGCAGGTACACCTTGTCTCCCCCTGAACTGATGAATTATAGAAACTGCTAGTGTCTGTGCATCGTGTCAATGCTTGCACGCATTTCTAATAGTGACTTTCGATAAATTTTGAGAAGGTGCCTGCTTGAAATCATTGTTTCTTCATGATGACCGTTTGCCAGAGAGAACAGTGTCTCACAGAATGTAGTCCTCTATCTAAACCAAGTATGCTTTTCAACAACAATTTTGGATACTGTTTGGATAGCTGCATATGATAGACTGTACAGTATGTTTAACCCATTTGTCCTTGTACAGGTTCCCACAGTCATTGAAAATCCTGGGAAAAGGTTGTCATGGAAAACTCACGGAAAATTGGTCTGGGGAAAAGTCATGGAAATTAAGATCATACAAGGGTGATTTTGATGGTGGTTATGGATAGTGGCTTTGGCAGTGTTCCCGTTTATTATACCAAACAAAGTTTCTGTGCAGAGTGGCATTAAATACCATGGAAATTGTCATATTTTAATTCTGGAAAAGTGCAGGAAAGGTCCTTGAATTTGATTTTCAGATTTCGTGGAACCTTGCTTGTAACAGTCAGGGCCCAATTTTTCGGCATTGCTTAGCACACGATTTCACGCTTTCAGAGGCTCTGCGTATTTCATGCATACAATAACAGTAAGTATACAGCCAAATGCATCCTAACCTTGGAGGAAAGATTTGTGTAACAACAGAAATCTCTATCTGCATGCAACAGTTGGCACAAGCACCTCGAGCACCGCATGGAATAGTGCTCAAGGTTAGCACATTATTCTGCTGAAATTGGGCCCTGACCCCACCCAGCCTGTTACTCCCTGCACTCACCAGCACTGTACGGTTTTATGGATTTAACAGTGACTCACAATAAGAGTCTATGTGGTAATGGGTTGAAATGTATATGTTATGCTTATTTGGGGAAAAAAATTTTTATTACAGTGTGACTGAAAGACCTTAAGCATGTTAGGTGAACTTTTCTTGTTCTTTTTGTCATTTTTCCCCGTGTTAAGATTTGGGAAGGCCTCATTGCTAGGTGAATGTTCTGCCATGGATGCCCACATGAACGTTGAGGCTGGCTAGCATCATGGTGCAAGTGGACTGACTGGTGAAATCTCCAAAGCGAAGAAGCAGGCTCCGTTATAAGTAGCACAGGTAAGAGTCCTGTGTTTAATATCATTGCTAGCTTTCTGCAAGGACGAATCCGGGAAAGGGGGAGGGGCTAATTGGGGTCACGACCAAACAAGGAGCAAAAAGTGTTTTCATTTGAAAAAAATGAAAAGATCTTATTGGTCTATTTTGTTTCCCTTCTTTTGAAAAGTGGTAATGTAGCCTCACCCCTCAAACAACTTTAAAAATAAAAAAAAGTATGGCCCCAAGAATCAAGTTTGCCCCCCCCCCAAAAAAAACCATTTGAGTCGTGGATCCACCCTTGGGTGCTTGTGGCTAGCTGTTAGTGCACCCCTGACCTAGGGATGGTTGTGTGCATTGTGTCAATCTAAGCAAGACGATAGGGACGAGGTTAAACCCTTGTAACCAGGGCAAGCTAGTTGAATGCACCCACTGTATTGGAATAGTTCACATTTTCCTGGCCTAAAGTTCCTTTTTCTTCATGGTTCACTGCTGTTTCACAACAAATCACCACTGATCAATGGTCCACATTTCCTGAGACATGTTCAACATGTTCAAGGAGCAGTTGGGGTTTCATACAGGTTTTCCAACGCAACTTTTTAAAATTGGCGCTCCAATTAACGTCAGGCTCATTCAATTTAGCGCGAAATTGATTGACGATCCCGATCAACATTCAGTCAGCCAAAATAATCATTCAATTTAAGTCCAAGAGCATGTGATTGCAAATTCTTGTTAAACAAAAAATGCTAAGTCGCTAGTCAGTTGAGAAAATCGTAGGAACAGCAGTCAAATTTGCACGGTTATTCTATGGTACTCATAATAGGCATGCAGTTTTATGAAAAAGGCGAGCATTTTTGACATCTGCAATTTTTTCATCGTAGTGTAATTTATAAATTTGAAATGTGTGAAGCATGTATAATTTATTTGAATTACATCATGAAGAAAACGTTTTTCACTGGCAAAGAAATCTCTCTGAGTACACTAATTACCTTGGTGGGAGAACCTCTTATTCTATGAGCTCAAACGTTGAAACAAGATGCCAGCAGCTCGTGCTTGCTACACAAGAATATCCAATGTTGGTCATGGTCGTTTGATTAAAGCATTTGAGGGAAATGGTCAAGATTACCTAGAACTGGCAGTCAACCTTGGAATAATGAAGATTTATGAATAGAAAGAAAAAATAATTGGTTTCGTGTAAGCTGAAATTTTCTAAAGAATAAAAACTCAATATTATCCCAAGGAAAGCATTTAACACAGAAGAAAAGTACATGTACAGTGTATATATTGATAAAGTTAGATGAAAAGGTTGGGGATAGTAAAGGTCCAGGGCAAATGCTGCCAGCGATAAAGAAATTTCTGGACCTGTACGCCTATCATAATTATACAGAAACTTCTATATTGTCTCCAATATTCAGACTACGCATACTTTTAAAAGCTTAAGTTGCAAATACTAGTGCCCATTGATGAAAATAAAAGTAAAATTTGGGCACAAATCTGCCTCCCAGTCACCCAGAGCGGAATTGAGTGATACTTGTGCATCATGAAGTTGAATGATACTGTTACTAAATTGAATCCTTGAAAGTGCATGATTCGATGTCTACAAACGAAATTGAATGTGCAGAGTTTCGCAAATGAACCACACGAATAACAGGCTTCGAGAAATCACAAGTTTGAATGCTGTTTACACTAATTTGGACAGGAAAACCCATAGTAAAACTCATGAAATGACGCGTCTAATCATAGACATCAAATACCTTTACACCGACAACAGCAGGGGCACAATTTAAGGAAAGTCTCCATTTTTAATAACCATGAACAAATGGCTGCCTTGTCCGCTTGGGTTTCATGATTTGCTGTGTAGCTCTGCTCTACACCAAAGAAGATGAATCGGGGGCAACTGCGGCAATCGTCCATCAAGCATTGTCCAATTCAAAAATAAAGTCTAAAAATTTAAATCACATACATTATGGGGATTTGTTCAGGCTTTTTGAAGGTGACCAATGAAAATGGACAAAACTTGAAGTGTTCAGAGCTCTTATTTAAAGAAGGATCTACCTTAATTTTGACAAATATTGAAGCAAAACACAAAGAGGGACCATGTTGTAAACACTTCATAGTATTTTCAGTCACCATCCAAAATTTAAGATTTGTATCCAACTTAACAGGCTTGTGCACACTGTTGATACACTTTTGCCCACACTTTCAGGATCAATTGTTGATTTCTGTAGGAGCTGTTGGTCCATAGATATTTTAGCTTTGTTGTCTTCCCTGATTGACGTTACAGTATTACTGTCCAACAGCGCCCTCACTTGTTGGGAAAAGGGAAAGACAATTTCAGGTGTTTAAAAATGTCACTTTTTGATTCACTAAACCCTAAAGGGGTGTCTGGAAAACTATTTCTAACAAAGAGTACAAAGCACAAATGCACTTAGAAGTAATAGGTCAGCAGTGTCAAAGGAATCCTCTTGTCATAGTTCATTTTCTGACAGGAAAATGGATGAAAAGCAATAGACACAGTTTTATATGAAATAAAAGGGGTAAAAATAAGGAGCGTACAAGGATCCTATAACTTTTAAAGAAAGGTCTCAATTTCTGCTCCAACTTAGTTCCTTTTGCGATTAATTTCTTCCCCAGACCTCCTATGAAAGCTGTGGATATGCCCCAGGCAAAGTAGACCATGATGCTGATGAGAAGAGCGCCCTCACTTCCTTCAACCAGGAGAGAAGGAAGATGGAGGACAAGATCCTATGAGACTCTACAGAGATGATTCCTGAGAATGTCAAGGAGAGGAAATAACTCCGATAGATGCCAGGCCTCACCTCCATCACTGAGGAGGAACAGTTTCCAAGAGGGATCCTCATCAGAATCTTAGGCATTGATTCACAAACAGGCAAGGAAAGGACTCAATCTTCTCAGAGATGCAGTTCCTTGCTTCCACCTTAGTGATGGAGCAAGTCTATCTGCATTTGTACACTACTCAATGGATCAAAGGATCATATGTAGTGATTAACCACTTGCTGTTGGGGATTTAGGTTTTGGACACATATTCTTTATATGCTTGGCTGGGGTCTCCGAAATCGGACAAAGGGAACTAGGTCTTGTAACAAAAGACTAGGCTGCTGGGAATTAGCAGCATGTTTTCACTCTCAATAGTGGAAATAATCCAGCCTTGTTTTGAAACGTTTTGAAACAGTATACCATGGTTTGGGGCATTTAGAACGAGCGGATTACCACCGGGATAAAAGCGCTCCACCGCAGCAATGAGCCACACAGCACCGCTGCACGCAAATCTGGCCCCTATTGAAAAGAGATCAGCAGCGCACTGTGCCAATTTCGTGAACCAAAGAAAATTACATAACACCGCAAAATCTGGGCTCTTTTTACAAGGCGGCAGGCCTGGCTGAAATACCCCTAGCGTCAATAGATGTTGTCTGTCAGATTAGAGTAGAAACCAGTCAGTCCTTAGGGTGGGTCTAAGTGTCGAGTAAATGAAGATGTGAATTTTTAAAGAATTTTGAAAACAGAAAAAAATGATAATTATCTGGTCCCAGCATCATCACATTGATAAATGCCACCTGTGCAAAGTGGTTAATAATTTAAACTAATGGTATTCACATCGCCAAAAAATGAGCGTCATTTAATTTGGCTAATATTGGCATCAAAACAAGAAACTTCCGCTACAGAGTACTGAAGTCTTGTGACACTGAAAAAAAATTTGGTCAGCACCTTGTCCAGGTCCTTTGCGGCCCTGAAGATGATGTATAAAAAATGGAGTTTCAATGAAGTAATGTGAGGGCGCTGTTTGTGATTCTGAATCACCGAAATGAAGCACGTTGAATGTATTTCAGCATGAAAAAAATTACCTATAACTGTTGAGACCCTTTAATTCAGTAAAATAATGCAATGTCTGACTTGTATCCGTTTTCAAATCTTCCCCAAATCACATATTTTTATAAGTATCTGTAAAATGATTGATACAAAATTCAAATTTGCGGTTGTCAGGACATAAAAAAAATCAGCTGCACAGTTTTCCAAACCTAAACACAAAATGGCAAGAGGTCCAATATTTCTTTTCGATTTCTATTTGTTTTTTTCAAAATGTCCTAAAGTGAGACACATACGTGTACATCATTTTACCACAATAGGGTTGTATAGTACTGGCCAGTCTCATTCATGTCATTGTACCCCCCCCAACTCACTAAGACACTCCCATGCTCTCACCCCCCTTGCCTCAGAGTCATCCCATCCTTAATTTATGTGCACAGAGAGTGAAAGATGGCCATTTTGAAGTTGTGCAATACACATCACCCAATGCTTTTTGACCCCTCCAGCTACATGTAATTGGGCTCTTAAAACACAACTAAGCACTTGCATTGTCTCACTTTCTATGGTGCTCAACCAAACATGAACATGAGCTTCAGTGTACAATAAGTAAAGTCAAAGAGGTACACACCTGGCTGAAATTGTCAAAGACAAATGTCTGATCCTTTAATTTTTTTGAGTAGTGTATATAGGTATACAGTACAATGCTGCTATAATGAACAGGGCAGGGTCCATACACAATGTAGCATTGGTGTAGCATACCTCCCCAACTATTGCGATTTCATTGGTACTGTTCCAATTGTCGCATTTTTGTAGGCGTAAAAATCAAAATGTTCCAATTTCCATAAAAAAGGGGAAAAGTCCTGGCAAGAGGGTGCTATTTGCCAAAACAGAGAGGGCGCTATTTCCTGTGTTGAAATGTCAGTTGTTACACATACATACGTGGGTGCGCTAACCTTACATACCTAGTGTGGACTTGTCAACAAAAGATATCCACATGATGCAGGAAAGGAAGACGTTGTGTGGACTTACACAAGTCCACAGGACGTTTCGCCTTCTCTGAAAAAAGAGGTTTAGAGGCATTTTTGGGTAGGGGTCCTTTGTTGTAAAAGTAAAGGAATAGTCAAGTAAACCTTGTACAAAAAGCCAGCTGAAAATAGTTCCCAGGCCAAGAAAAATTAGTATTTTCACTGAGTTTTCTTAACTGCACGAAAAGAATGTCCACAGTAGGTATGTAAGGTAAGCGGCTGCTCTTGTTTGTATAAAACAGATTTTCTTGTGTGGCTGCTTGTTTTGCAGTGCACTCATAACATGGCCATTCCAATTTCGGAGTTTATTGACATCTTAACTTTTGAGTCACTGTCATCAGTCCCAATTTTCTTTCTTTAATTTAAAGCAAATTTGTGATATTCAGTAAAAGTGTGCATAAACTTTGGGAGCCAAGAGGCCTGGTCCGTATACCGATTTGTTCAGGATAGTGACATTGTACTGTACTTGCATCCAAATTATTCACGACTTTAAGAGGTACTCTGTAAATTGAATAGACAATTGGTCGGTTTGCTTTTGAAGAAAGACTATTGTTTGCCTTTAATTTGTTTCTTTTCATCACAATGTATTGACTGATTAATGCACATTTAAAACATTCATGTTTACATTTAAGTTATCAAGACGCTATTCATGTACTTTAAAATTTGAAATAATTACCATTTGGAAAGACTCTAGACACTTTGATATGACTTCTTTTGAGGACTAAAAGCTTATAACTATTGTATGCTTTTAAAAATTGAATGGTGTTCCCATTCAGGCAGCCAAAATACCAGCACTGTTCAGTTAACCCAGAGGCTGTTCTGAACCTCACTTTTTAACAAGTTCGCCCCCAAACAGAGATATTGACAAATGGGAAGAACCACCGACATAGGGCTTGATAGCTCAGTTGGTAGAGCACTGGTACGGTGTTCCAGAGGTTGCAGGTTTATATCCTACTAGTCAATTTCTTTGTTCATCTTTATAAGTTTTTCCTTGGAAAAAATTCAATGTGCATTTTGTATTTTCCAAGTTGTACATGTACATCCACATTGCCAGAGCATGAACAAAAAGTCTTTCACTGAAAATTATCATAGAACTGAAAGTCGCAAATTGTTGGCTCAGTACTGAAAGGTCATTACTGCAAAAATGTAATTTTTGAAAACACTCTAAGGGCCTTACTCTATGCACGAAAGAAATATTTGATTTAAACAGTTTTTTTATATTTTTGTCACAAAACTAGTTTTTTGCGGCCAACATTCTTAAATTTTAACCAATTCTGTTTTCCAAGTAAATGTCTAAAACAAACACCTTTTTAGTGCATTCTAAGGACCTTTTAGTACTGATATGAAATTTGTTTCATTTGAAAATATAACCTTGCAAAAATGCTTTGTGTGTATGTAAAGCACCATTTATTGCTATAGCCAGTTAATTTCTATTTGCAAGTGAAATAAATGCTTATTTATTTAAACTAGCAAAACAACTTGTTTGTACATGTATATCTATTTGTAAAAATCTAGTACTTTGCCACTTAACCCTTCCCCTAATCTGGACCATTTTACACTGCCAGAGTTTATACGTACATTTGTTTCCATCTTTAGATTTTACATTACAGCCTCATCCTACATGGAAGCCCTGCCAGTCTTAAACATCTTCCAAGATCCTTATATAAAGTTCCCTTTTGGAGCCTTTTAGATTCAATCTTATAAGGGTTACAACAAACCCAACAGCAATATAAAACATTCAGAAGCTGCTGTATGTCCTTCAACCCCATTGGATCCTCAGAGCTGTAATACTGATAGTCCCAAGCCCTCAACCATCCACTCTGCCCTTCCTATCAGCTCTCAGACTTCCAGCTCCTAGGCCTTCCGCCCTTGCCCATCTCCAGTGCAGAGTTTGGTTGAAAAATATTCTAAGTCCAAACAATGGAAGGTTTAACATTTAGAAACGAACACATTTTTTCAAGAAGTGCCGTGGCATAGCGGTTAGGGACCCTAACTGCGATGCACAAGGACCTGGGTTCAATTCCAGGTGGGCATGCACAATTTTG